CGCACACCCACACATATGAATGCACTATCTTCACAAAGTTCACCCACACCTGACACCCACAACCAGTATAGTGCATTCACAACCATCCACCCTACCACAAACAACTTTGGTGTATCGAATACCCAGGCACCCGACATCAACGCTTCTATTTATTCAGCAAATGAAGAGATAGGTGCTATTAGGGATAATATTCGTACCCAAACAGCATTAGGGAATCTCGAACTGAGTGTAACCGCTTTCGAAACAGCCCTGTCACGTTTTCAAATGGAACAAAATAAGATTAGCAATAGAATCTCTTCTATCGAGCAAGACATTCAGTCCATTAAATTATCTGTGTTCAGACCTGTAGACCCGGCACCAATTAATGATAACGCTGTCAACCCAAACCGTAATACGAACAGACCATTTACCGATCGTCAGCAAACTTCTCTTTATGATAGGTTAGCACAAACCGAACATGAGATTAGGCAGGAACTAAATCCACAGCTGACGACACTCGGTAACACTGTACGTCACTTAACGGGGGAAACACGTCCATTATTGAATAGCACGGGTTGGGACCCAAACAACCAAATGGATAGTAATAACTCTAGGAATTATCAGCCCCATTACCGCACTGAACGATTTACTGGCACTGATTTGCGTTCTATGAACCAACCAGACCGTACCGTACAGTTTGGTAATGATGACTGCGATTCTAGAGGTAATCACACGTTACTAATACCACTGCACGACTTAAAGGCTGCGAGAGCATCACTCCCTCAATTCTCGGGTAACAAGGAGGAGGACTCAGCACGCTTCCTTATGACGGCAGAACGTATTTTGCAGGAAGCAAATATACACCCTGCTACGTGGGTTCGCGCAGTTGAGCCTCAACTAATTGGGTTAGCCGCAACATGGTGGAAAAAGGTTGTAGTTCTTGATATGTCATGGGCCGAATTTAAAAATAGTTTCACTAATAAATTTGACAGCCCCGTCATTCAGTCTCGCCTCCGTACAGATATCTTATCAGTTCGTCAAGGTTTATACCAAACACTGACCGATTATGTAATGGAGAAACACCTTTTATATCGTCGAGTTCGAACATGTCTTTCTGAATTTGAGATATTAGACAATGTCATAGATCTTATGAGAGACGAATTCAGAGCCCATGTCCGGTTACAAAACCCCTCCTCATTCTCTCATCTTCAACAGCTAGCTGAAATTTTAGATAGGTCCTTAGTTTTTACTAAAGAGCCCCTGAATTCAGTTCCGTCTAGGCAGGTGAATAAATCATATCACCAACCGAGTAAACCCAAACAAGAGTTTACAAAATCGGCCACCCGCCCAGACAAAAACCCACCCACAAAACCACCGCTCCCGTGTAAGCATTGTAAGGGACCACACTGGAACAGTGAATGCCCAACTAAGCACTCGGGAAACGGGTCGAAATCCCGTGGGAATTAGTCCAGCCCTCGGATNTGGAACAGTGAATGCCCAACTAAGCACTCGGGAAACGGGTCGAAAGCCCGTGGGAATTAGTCCAACCCTCGGGTCACTCATCACTTTCCGACGGTAATCTACAAGTTTCCCAAACGCTAGTACTCAGCTCTGATAATTCGGTAAACGAATCAACTGACATTCAAGTGATTGATCATGAAATAGTAGACATTACCGCTAATTCTCAACCACCCGTGTCAACCTATACACCGTTAGACCTAGCTAATCATACCTCACCACACAACCGATTACTTAAATCACCAAATCATATCACCCTGGCCTTGGCTCTGATATTCTTGACCAAAGAACAACCAACGGTTCAGAATTTCACAAATCACCACGAGTAATCGAGTTGAACCATCATCACTCTACAGCTAGTCAAAACGAAGTTATTAGGTCACATAGTTTCGAAAACCAAAACACCTCCCCAAAGGAACGGTTAGGTTACGAACAAATCACTTTGGGTTTTGACACACAAAACGATTGCCACCACAATGGTAGGAAAGTCAGTTTTAATACACGTATTGATAGATTAGAACAAGACACTCGAAAAGTTACTCATCTTGAGCAACCCGAATGTACTGGACTTGCGTCTATACGAACTGTATTAGACAAAAACCAAAATAGAATTTCAACACCCTGTATAGAGTTGGAATTCGAATCAGGTTTCGTCACTGCTCTTCTTGATTCCCAGGCTCAAAAATCGTACGTCAGACCTGAAATTTCGAGAATTTTCGGAAAAACAATCCCCGGACCAACTTCACAAGTTCGAATGGCAGATGGCCACAGCCAAACCACCAGTGGTCACGCCTCTTTCGAAGCCAGGGTCACAGATATCATCATTAACTTTGATGCCTCGACTCTGGACAATTTATACTGCGATATCCTACTAGGACACGATTTCCTCGTGAAAAACGAAGTCGCGTGGGACTACTCAGCAGGCACCATTTACTTGGTCACCCCTAAGCGAACATCAGTTTGCTGGACAGGCCCTAAGATTCCGCAAAGTCCCAAAGAGTTAGACTTTTCTGAAATTCAAATTTTGGGCGATCCTATCACACGAAAACAATTAGCAGACGTTATTTCTAAATACTCTGAGGTTTTTGATGGTTCAATAGGCCGCACGAAAATCATTGATCACGAAATCCGACTTAGGGACCACACACCCATTGCTCTAAACCCATACCCTTATCCACCCAACAAACAGAATACCATTAACGAGATGATAAGGGACATGGAGGAGCAAGGCCTAATAGAACCTAGTACGTCACCCTGGGCCGCACCTATAGTCCTTGCAAAGAAAAAAGATGGTTCGCCTCGACTTTGCATTGATTACAGACGGCTTAATGAAGTGACCGAATCTGATGCTTACCCCATGCCAAACTTAAATGACATGATACGGAACATGAGAGGTGCAAAAACTTTTAGCGTACTTGATCTTAAGTCCGGCTATTTTCAAGTTTTCAAGCGGATGTAAGTCACAGGTGAACTGGTTTACATAGTCGCCGACGTGTCTCGCGGTGCTGCACCCCCTGACCTGTCCTATCTACCGACCGCCGGATAAGACAAACTTGTGTTATCGTCAACATTAATGAGTGCGACGGTTGACAGCTGATAATCACGACCGGATAACGTGCTAATTCACGGTAACTGAATAGTGCGCTATTACGGGCCGTGTCAACTCTCCCTCACTAAGCTGTGCAACCGGTGAACTAAATCTCAGTCGATACAATTCTTTTCTCTCCCTCTATATCCTCTTTTTTTATAGCATCGCTAAGTCCCTTTCGGGAAAACGGGCTTTCTGAGGTGTTCACTATCGCCTTCCTCTAAGGATAGCGGGTGACACTCCCAGGAGGAGATAGGATTGGGAAAGAAAGAGCAAGGAGATCTAGGGAGCAGATGGTAGAGGTTGATTGAGGAAAGTCTCAATATCTTCATTAAAACAGTCGGGAGATTGCATGAGCTCTCCTGCCGAGACCTCGATGTCCATTGGTGCCTCCTCTGTTATCTCGGTGGCTACTTCTATAGGTGGAACGGTCCTTGGCATGGGGGTTGGTGGTGTCGCTACTTGGATCTCCGTCGTCTTAGCCAAACGGTGCTGTTGTGAGCCATAGGAGGACTGCAACTTGATTTCCCTGGTGAGTCGTTGCAATTCCTGCTTCTTCTGCCTCCTGTAATCCACCGTGCGTTGTCTTTTTTTCTCCTTATACGTCATTCCAACGTAAGACTGAGTTGACGAAGTGGTAGAGCCGGGACCAGACTTGACACTCGCAGTGGCGGTAGATGTCGATGGCATGACTTTCGTGCTTGTCGTCGGTTTTGGATGGTTATACGGTTGTGGTTGACGTTGAGGGGGAACAAATGAGGGCCGGACTGTCGGTTGGAAGATTGCAGGGGGAGGAGTAGGAATTCCTGCCATACATTTTTCCCATCCGCGAATGTAGGCGGTCCGCAGATTGGGATATCGTTGCAAGTCCCTTTCTGGCATTGTAAGTACCTGCTCTACCGACGGCCGGGCGTTAGGAAAGCGAGCTCCTAGGTTCGCTAACATTTGTTGGCCAGCGAGGTGGTTCTGAACCAAAGCTGCTAACTGGTCGTTGTATGTTGGCTTAANGAGGAGTAGGAATTCCTGCCATACATTTTTCCCATCCGCGAATGTAGGCGGTCCACAGATCGGGATATCGTTGCAAGTCCCTTTCTGGCATTGTAAGTACCTGCTCTACCGACGGCCGGGCGTTAGGAAAGCGAGCTCCTAGGTTCGCTAACATTTGTTGGCCAGCGAGGTGGTTCTGAACCAAAGCTGCTAACTGGTCGTTGTATGTTGGCTTAACAGGTCTTTGTGTTTGGTGTTTTTGTCGCTGTGGTTGCTGTGACATGCTAGAAACAGACGGTAACAACAAACGATTAACACATGTGGACATATTGTAACGTTTAATGTAGGGGAGTAAGTTACTAAGATCCTTTTTGATCCTTTGGCTCACCCACCGTATGAGATATCTTCAGACACGAGACGTGAAGTTTCCGGGGCGGTTGCTGGTCTGTGAGATAAACTCCTGGACTTATGCGTTCCGCCAGTCGGACTGGTCCTAGCCACTTAGGCGCGAACCCCGCATGGAAACCTTTGTCTGCGTTTGATAAGTGATGTGCCTTGTAATACACCAAGTCACCAGTCGAAAATTGTGACTTCTTCGGGGTGATGTTTTTTGATTTTTTTTCTTGGTTTAACAAGGTCGCCATCTCTTGCCCTCGCCTATGTCGGTTAGTCTACTCCATAGGAATGACGGGAGGTTCAAACAGGGCCCAATCGCCAGGTCGCTTGGCTTCTCTACCAAGTACTAATACTGACGGCGAAAATCCTGTTGCCTCATTCAGTCGATTCCGAATTGCGAAGAGTATCGACGATAGCTTCGTGTCCCAAGAGCGATGACTTTCGCCCACTAAAAGTGCACGGAGTCCCTTTTTCAGCTCTTGGTTGCGACGTTCGACTGGGTTAGCTCGGGGGTGGAACACCGGAGTAGTCCAGCCCTCTGCCCCCCATCGCTCGAGTGCTCTGAGCATTTCGTTAGAAGTGAACTGAGTTCCGTTGTCGTTCAAACACACGCGAGGGTACCCGAAACGCGAGAAGTATTCGCGTTCAAGTGTTTGTATAATTACTTTAGAAGTGGCGGAGCCTAATGGGTAAGCTTCAATCCATCTGCTATAGCAATCAGTGACTACAAGTATAGACGTTTTCCCTCTAGCGGTTCTAGGGTAGGGGCCCATCAAATCTATACTTATAACTTCCCATGGCTGTCGTGGTTTTCTAGGTCTTAGAGGGTCTTCAGGTTTTACGTTTAGGGGTTTTGTGCAAGCGCAAATGTGACATGCCCTAACATATTTCCTAACGTCCTCTTTTATATTTTTCCAATAAAACCTTTGTCGAACAGCCCTGAAAGTTTCTTTCCAACCAGGATGACTGGCTAGAGAGTGGTCGTGGTACCACCAAATTATTTTTTGTGTTTTACTGAGTGGTACCACTATGGATGGGATTGGTGAGGGGTCGTCTTTTGATATACCACCGAATTTCCGGAGGAGGCCATCAACCACGATAAAAGATTTCTTTTGGGCTTTGGACCGTCGTGTATTGTTGGCTGGGCAATCGGAGGATATGCTATCCATTACAGATTTTACATATGAGTCATCCAATTGCCACGATCTTAACTCTTTCTCAGAAACAGGTGTGTCATTTAGATCGACCTCGTGATGGGTTAGCGAGAAAAGTCTATCGGGTGTACCTTGGTTGAGTGATGATTGAAGTTGTGATGTGGGTACCCCTAATAGGTTCTCATCTAACTTTTCTTCATTGACGGGCGGACCATCTGATGGGTTTCGGGACAACATGTCTGGGGCCTGATTAAGGTGTCCTGGAACATGAGTCGTTCGAAAATTGAAATTACTTAATTGTAATGCCCATCGGGTCAGTTTTGATTTCTGGTCTTTTGTTTTGTGAAGCCAGGTCAATGCTGAATTGTCAGTAAGGAGTTCAAAACGGCCGGTTTCTAGATAGGGTCGGAATTTATCGACTGCCCAGATAATGGCTAAGCATTCTTATTCGACTGCTGTATAACGCCTTTGTGTCTCACTTAACTTTTTGCTAGCGTAGGCGATTACTTGTCTTTCCTCTGGTCTGTCACCCCGTTGGAAGAGAACAGCTCCTACACCTATTTCGCTTGCATCGGTTTGGAGGCAAAAGGGTTTACTATAGTCAGGAGGACAAAGCTTTAGGGAGTCGTACAGGGCGTTCTTTATGGTGTCAAACGCATTCTGTTCGTTACCTGACCATTTCCATCTAATGCCTTTTTTTA